CGTGACAGGATCGAGAAGTGAGCGAACGCCGGTATGTGTTCGCTCACCTCCCGATCTACTGAGCCGACCTGTGACAGTCTCATTGTCACAGGTCGGCTAGAACTATGATGTGAGTGAAAAGCACTCACCTCATAGCTCTCCTTTAAGGGAAGTCTGCCTTGTTCTCATACATGTGTAGTCTCATACAACAGCTAGAATATTGCAATACAGGTTAATAGATCTGTGAGGATATACAGAATATGATGAGTGAAATGGCAGGCACTCAATTGTATGATTAACTGCTCTGGAATCCCACCAGAATGCTTTGCCTTACCTTTCCTATAGTTATCCTAAAACAAAATAAGTTACTCTCCATCAATTAATAACAAGTCTGTGACAGATCACAGGAACAATGAAGTTATAGCACACAAACCTGCACACTTTAATATTTTCTGGATCTTCTATTTTTTTGATCCAGCATCTACATGACATCTGGGCTTTCGAATTCTGTTCAGCCTTCGTATAAATACAACTTTGGCTATCTAAATTTTGAAGCTACAAACTCCAAGACTGTATCCATAAGTTATTATTTATTGAGCCATTAATTGGCCAAAAGCACGCAGCAAGACATACAGGGTTATTCACAAAAGGGTGAAGAGTTTGGAGCAGGCAAGAGAAGTGACCAATCTAGGACAACATAGCTGAACTGGAAAGTGAGCTGAATTGGAGAATGTCTCAAAATCAGCCATGTTGTCCTAGATTAGTCACTTCTCCTGCCTTCTCCAAACTCTTCACCCTTTTGTGAATAACCCTGATGGTCAGGAAACAACTTTACGGGCAGGTCAGTAACCTACCAAGATGTAAAGCCAGGATCAGCAACGCAGCCTCTGAGCCTGCACAGACAAGTCAGCAATGGCCACTTCGATATTTGCATCCAACAGGTTCCTTTTAAGGGATTTAGAAGGAGGACCCAGGTATGCTCTCAACTTTTTATTTTGCTTTCGAGAGAGGGAAAGGTTTTCAGCCTGCCTCTTTTTTTTAGCAATCTGTGTCCCTGTCTTGTGTGTGAAGACAGTATGTGCCAAAATATCATTCTAAAGGTGGCACCAACAAATACATTTTAGTAGTAAAACTTTTGACTTATTTTGAGTTTATTTCTTCTGCGGGTGTCATGGGAACTAAGAGGAAAAGAGACCCCCACATAGGGTTACAAAGAGAAGTAAAAACCTGCCAGAATGTTTTCTCTCTTCCCTAAAATAAAAAAAAATGACTGAATTTAGACTTATGCTTCTAAAAGTGTGTAGAGGTTTGCCACCAGGAACCGTATTTATATGCCAATAGTAATAAACATTTTATTCCAATCTTGTTTTTATATTATTTCTAATTATATTTTGGAAACAAGCAAAAAAAAAAATCACTAATGGACGTCCACTAACAGTCACAGTGTCTCAATATTTAGCGCCTGTGCTATTTGTTGATCTCATTGCAACATAATCAATTCTAAACAAAGCCAGGCACTCTACTATCTCAGGCAAAGTGTGTGAATAGGTGATATGGTATGTGGAAATAACATCAATAACCATCAAGGAATGTGAAACTCCATATTATTTCAACACTTCAGAGCGGGTCTATACATTTTATTGACTGGGGGCACTCATGTTCTACTTTAACCCCTTCATGACTGAGCTTGTTTTTAGTTTCTGTTCGTAAATGACTGACACACTTTTGACATTTTTGCTGTGTGATTCTTCCACGTTAGTAATATACTTTCTTACAAAGTGCACCCACACATATTATATATTGTTTTTTAGAGGACAGATAGGGCTACATATTTATATCACATATGTGCGTCTAACGCCTCACTTAGGACAAATAAAATATAAAAAAAGAGGAAAAAACCGTTTAAAAAAAACACTTTTTTCCCAGTTTTGATTTGTAGTATTTTTTTTACAAAACCAGCACAGCTAAAAAAATGCAATAAATACATTCATTTATTTGTCCCTTATTTTATTTTATTTTTTACACATTTTTTTATTTTTTTTACACTTTTCACAATTTTTTTTTTTTTTTACACTTTTCACTTTTTTTTTAACTTAAAAATGTTATTTTATTTATTTAATTATATCAAGCAGATTTTGTGAATTAATCTCACTGTTACTGCATGATAAATTAATAAATTTTTGGTTATTATCAGGCTGCTTCAAACTTCAGAACAGCCGATAATAAGTTAGTGACACTGATCCTGCAGCAGTTCAGGATTCAGCTGTTACTAAATGTTTTCTGATTGTTGCAACAACGATCAGCAAACAAACATTCTTCTTCCAGGAATAGATACATTGTAGGAATAGACACATTTTGTATCTATTCATGAAAGAAAAAAAAAAAGCCAGTATAGCTTGAGAGAGATATCTCTCGATCTATACGAGCTGTCAGAATGCCGGCAAAAGCCGGCATCTGTGTCCGCTTTGCTTTGACTCTCAGACACCCGATATTAAGGTATCGGGTGTCTGAAAAAGGTTAACCCTTTCATTAATGAATGCCTCTGTAGTAAGGGCATCCATTAATGAATGTTAAAAGCTGATTCTCAGCGATTAACAGCCCTCTAAAGCAGCAAATAACTCGTCACGTACAGTGTACGTGACAAGTCATTTGGTCCCTTTGTGGATGGACGTACAGTGTACGTCTCCCATCACGAAGGGGTTAAATTTCAAACAGCAATACTATAGCTTGGATAAAGGTTTATGAGCACTGAAAATCCAAAGTCATTTATATTTTGCATAATTAAACAAGCTCCATTCATGGTGGCTGACCTAGCTGTTAGCAGAAAGAGAGAAGAAATGTCTGTACCTTGCGGAGGAGGTCTTTGTTGTTGCACAGGAGTGGGAGAACGAGAGTGAACAGGCTGAGCCTAGAACAGAAGAATGCATATTAGCTGACCATATGTGAGGGAGATATGTGGGCAGAGGACATGGAGGCAGAATGAAGAAGAATCTCTCATTTTCCTACCTGTGGCAATTGTCCATGTATAGAGCGACTGGGAGATGAGCTGCCCTGCAGGGTCTGGGCCATCTTATTAACTACCAGTTCTGCTATTAGCTGACGGTCTTCTTCCTGCTGGTCCCCAATTAGAGGCATGGAGGAGCCAACAACCTTGAAGACAGAGGCAGTAGTCAGTTGGGTCCACAGAGGGAGGGAAGATCTAAGGTATACACAGGCACAGTTCAGTAGCTGTTCACCCGTTGCAAACTAGCCTTGTGCATTAGAATGTTTCATGTGTCCTCTTCATTGTAGTGGCTTGGGCAGCAGTGCTCACTAGCAGCTGGCATGCTCTAACTTTCAATGGTAAATAAATCACGTGTTAAAAGAGAAAGAGTTGATGTTATAAACACAAAGCAAGCCTTATAGCCTATCTAAACCCAAAAGCAAATGTAATATATTGCAGCTTGCCAGCCCTTATACACTGAGTGGCCAGATTATTATGACCACCCCATCAGTACTTTGTTTCGCCACGAGATGACTTCGTTGGGCCGCCTCGTGACTCCACGAGATGTTGAAAGGTGATGCGAGGAATCTGACACTGCACTGTTGCCCTTCTGTTGTCTTGTACCAGTCTTGCCACTCTCCGTTCTGCCCTAACATTGACTAGTCGCTGGCGGCCACAATTCGCACGTTCAGACCCAGATTTTCGGCTGACAGTCCAGTCTTTAAACACTTTAACAACAGCTGCTCTTAAACATTTAACGAATTCTGCTGTTTTGCTGATACTCGCTCCATGGCTCCGAGCGCCAACAATCATCCCACGTTCAAAGGCTGTTAAATCGCCTTGTTTACCCATATCTTCAGAAAAAAGTCACTTCTACTGTCGTGGTAAACAACCTGCTTCCCTATTTATAATGGTCGGGCCCTCTAGCAACTTCAGCGCAAAATTATAGCTAATTTTCCTACAAATGTCAGGTGGTCATAATAATCTGGCCACTCATTGTACAGTATGTGTTGGCTGCATTAGTTTTTTCAGGTTTTTTTTTCACCTAGTGATTCTGCCAGTAACACACTTCTTGTCCTAGAGTAACAATTCTCACTCACTCAGCAGAAACAAGAAAGGACTACTGGGGACTCTCCCTGTCCTCCTGTAGTCCTCAGAACAATATACAGTATATAGCACAAGTACAGGAAGGATAGGATTTCAAGCATAACAGGTGTTCTTTTCACCTATCAAACAGAAGTTTATTATTAGTCTTTACTTAAAGTAAACCTATGACCAGTCTATGGACATTTAAGTATCTTCTCTGCAGTGGCCATCGGTCAGTCAGGTGAACTACTCTGTAAACGATGTAATGGCATTTCTTTTACAAGTCGGCTCACCTCGATAACATGATCTCTTCCATCCTTCCCATGCAGCGCTTCTACCGCGCATATGTCCAGGCCACCAAATATTTCTGCACAAGAATCCACCCACAGCTTGTACCTGGAAGACAAAAGCATGGCAGGTAATCTCTGCTTCAGGGCTATGACATATGCAGTGGCGTAACCAGAGTTATGGGTGCCCGGGGCAGAACATTTTTTTCCGCCCCCCCCCATATTATATAAACATCCACTGGAACTGTACCCCCCACCCCCACACATATATATCAGCTAAGGAACTACAAGTCCAAGCATGCCATAATTGTCCCTGCACACCCCTCCAATCAGGCACTGTAGAGGGCCGCTCGCAGTGGCCTCGGAGAAGCGAGCGGCCGCCCGATGACAGCCGCGTGAATGTGGCAGAGAGAGGGAGTCAGGGGCTTCATGACGGCGCCCCCCCTCAGTCCTGCGCCCGGGGCAAGCGCACCCCCCGCCCTCCCGGTTGTTACGCCACTGGACATATGGTACACTGACATGCCAATATGATAAAAATGTGCAAAAAGCAATGGAGATGGGAAGTGACCCAGAGCAGAGTCAGATCAGAGCAATACAAATTCTTACAGTCATATTAAAGTCTTAAGGTTTTTAAGCGATTTCAAATGCTGTTGAAATCACTTACAATTAATGCTGCTCCTTGATGTTTAAAAATGTTAGCTTCCTGCAAAATCAGCTGGTCCCCTGAGCACTGGCCCTGATATCTTGTATTATGGTGGCTTTTTTTCCCTTGCAGGGTTCTATAGAGCCACCTTTGTGTGCTCCAGTAGGCTTTGTGTCTTTACAAACACACAGGCACAGCAGGGCAAGCCACTCTCCTGCCCCTCTGCTCCCCTCCCTTCTCCAAGCTAGTAGAAGGGCAGCTGCTGGGGACTGTGCTCTCCCTTGTGATCTTGTACTGGACAGGAAGTTCAGGGAAGCCAAGCTGAGATAGTTGGAGCTATTCAGAAGCATGATCTGGATACATTATTGACAAAAAGTTTGAGAGTTTCCTACTACTTTAATGGCTGTTACTGGCTGTTCTAGGTGGTCACGTGTACGCAGTTTAGGACAGTGTTGCAGTGGATGATAAGCAAGTAAGGAAAATGAACCATTTTATTCAATGGGTAAGGTAAACCATATGCAGTTATATGCGGAGCACTCTGGACTCCTTACATGTAGTAGGTATCTTCCTGGGACACCTCACAACCACCCTCAAACTGTGCTTGGAAAAGTGTCCTCCTTGCTCAACCTCTGTCCTCACTGCTGTGAACAAGTCCTAAAGCTCCAGGCTCACAAGTAAAATGGGATTATTATTGATCATCTATCACCATACCTGGATGTGTGTAACTGCTGGAAAATGTGTCTTCACTGAGAAAAATGATGTCATAGTGCAGCTTAGAACCAGTGATTTCCAGCTATGTCTTGTATCTATACCCCCCTTACTGAGAGTAGATCTGGTGATAACCAGGGGTGTTCACCACTCCACAGTCATTACCCAGAGAACTGTGCCTAAATACTCCCAGGAACATGCCTGCATAATGGCACATTGCAGAGGGTTCATGGGATATGTACTTTGCCTGTGTATGCCTATGTTACCAGGCTGAGACACAGGACTCTCAAAAAGACTCCCCCCGACTCTCTGCGATTGAGAAACTAAGGAGAGGGCACCTGGCAATGTCAGAGGTAAAATGGGCCCTTAGAATTTTGTTTTCTGTAATATATTGCAGCTTACCAATCCTTAGATGTGGTGGCTGCATTAGTTTTCTTTTTTTGTGTTTTTCCCCCTTTATTTTCACCTGGTGATTCGGCCAGTAACACACTTCCTGTCTTAGGGTGGCTTCACTCTATGAAGGAGGAACAGGGCCACCCTTGGAAAGCAGTATTGTCACCCTGTGGGAAGGGTTGTGGTCCGATGTACTAGCCGGTTTAGATGTGCAAATTAAAGCTCCAGCTGACACATTTCACTTTTTAAGGAATACAGCAACTGTGTATTTTTCCTTTTGGGATGGAAGCATTAAATAAATTATTATAATTATTGCTTTGTAAGCAACCCTTCCAGCGTTAAATGGTTTGTTTCAACCATTTATCTGCCAATATGGCTGGACAGCTTGGTCTGCTAAGGGAAGTTGAAAAATTATAGACTTACTGGCCCGATAATCAGGTGAAAATGACAGAAAAAAAGCCTAAAAAAAGAAAACTAATGCAGCTACCACATCTAAGAACCGGTAAGCTGCACGCAACATTACATCAGCTGCTGCAGGGCAAAACACTGCATAACCTGTAGATACCCCTCAATGGATATTGGCAGGATCATTCACCCCAAAAATCCCAACATTTATACACAGTATATAGATGTGAATAATTTTAGTCCAGTTGACTTTTTATATTTAATCTCTTTTTTACCAGTTGATTTTTTACACGGTGTTTGTGAGTTTTGAACTCTTAGAGCTTTTTGTCACTCTGGATCATAAAGTCACCTGTCCCTTTAAAAAAAAAAAAAGTATCGGGAATTGGTATCGGCAAGTACATGAGGGGAAGTACTTGTACTTGGTCTTGAAAAAGTGGTATCGGGACATCCCTACATTTTATACATCCATATCCTTCATTACATCTTAATCTAATACATAATTATCCTGTTCACATAGCTTCTCTTCCCACCTTCTCTTAAAAAACAATTTCCTCAAACTTACCATCCCCCCCCTTACCCTACCCAAAGAACCAAACCACGAGCACTAAAGGAAAGGAAGGGAGCGGAAAGGAAACAGGGTTCGGGTGTTTACTTCTTAAAACTAAATCTGTCAACTACAAATAATCTTGAATCTTGGATGAACTTGAGAAATCTATCCATGGTCTCCACTTCTCCTTCAAACAGCATTTTAGTTGGTATTTAGTTCACTGACCCATTCCCGAGTCTGAGGAACATTTGGTGACCTCCAAAACGGAGGGATTATTGACCTTGATGTTTCCAGTATGGGACATGGTAGACCCCTTTTTAATCCTATGACAGGACCAGGGAGCATTGATAAATGTGCCACCTCTGGAGTCTTCGGCAGACATAATCCGGTCAGGTGACACCCTACCTCAGGAACTGATCTCCAGCCTGGTTGTAATAACTGACATGACCACCATATGCAACATTGTCCCCTCTTCTGCTCCGCATCTCCAGCACATCTTAGATACTTGGGGGTTTATTTTATGCACTACTGTTGGGCATCTGTACCATCTCATTAATGTTTTAAAGTTTATTTCCTGTGTTTTAGCCGCCATGCTTGATTTAAAGGCTAGATGAAAGGCCTTGTTCCATTCCTCTTCTGCTACCAAGTGTCCCAATTCCCGTTCCCATTCCCTAATGTAGTAAGGAGGGAGCCGGTACATCTGTGATAATAATATGTTATATATTCTAGAAACTAGATGTTTACTCCCCGCATTGCTCATACAAAGATCCTGAAAGGGGGTCAAGTCCCTAAAGACAATACCCCATGTACATAGGTGTTGTTAGAAGTGCCCGAGTTGTAAATGAATTGTAATTTAAGGACATTAGATTATGTCATTGAAATCTGTTTATAAATGTAGAGGTTACTGGCAATAAACATAATGGACGCGCCTTGCTGAGTACTTGGTAAAGCGGTACATAATCGGGTGCAGTAATATGGTCTGTCCCGCTGATTTCCTAAGAAGAAACACACAGAGAACTTTCCATTTGCATCTGACGTGCCTTAAGTACGAGGCACAGAGGACATCTGTTGAAAATCATGAACCTGAAATACTGACTAAGAGCCTGAGATGTTTATGTATATAAAGAGTTATTTACTAAAATGTCTGAGTGATGAGTCATACTTTTCCTTTCAGTGTCTTTCCAGCACTGGCTCTATCGGATCTGGCCAGTAGGCAATTGAATAGGGCCTGTTGTACAAGTTTTACCATGCACACTATGTTTAATAATCATGAAGCCAGACTGCAGTTCACTCTTTACAAAAATAACATTAGTTTTTTACAAAAATTGCAACATTTGAGACTCGCAGTACTGAGCATTAGACATGTGCACTGCCAAAAAATTTGTTTAGTTTAGTTTCGTTTTAAATTCGTTTTTGTGTTATTTCGTTTTTCGGGATTCGGGTGTGAAAGTCAATTCGGACGAAATTCGGTAGCTCGTTCGAACGTTCGTTTCGTTTCTTATTCGTTTCGTTCATACATTCGTTTGCAGCAAATTGACATTTGAGGGGGAAAAATGTTTTTCTCCTTCTCTAATGTCACTTTGCTCCAACAAACGAAACGAATAAGAACCGAAAACGAAACAAATGTTCGCACGAACTACCGCTACCGAATTTCGGAAACGGAAATTCGGATTCGTTTGCATTCGTTATATCTGTAATTTGGAATTCGGATACATCCGAATGTCCGAATTTCCGAAAATTCGTCCGAATTTCGATTCGGAACCAAACGAATGGCACATGTCTACTGAGCATACTAATGGTGCTGCCTGCCATTGATCCACTCATGGATTATACTGTTATGCTACTATGTTACATATCAGTGAATTGTTTTCCATTGTTAGTAGTTGCAAATACTGCCCCATGAGGCATGCACCCTAATAAATCTGTGTCATTCCAATGAAGGGGCTATGGCAACATACCGGTCAGACACAGCAATTTGCTCCAGCATGGCGGATCCGGTGTTAGTCTTCCAGTTCCCAGAAATTGAAGTTCTCCTGTAATATACAAAGAGCAAAATTAAAGGCACCATTGACAATATTCTGGCCTTAGGTATGTATAGCACAGAGAAATGTTATCCACCCTTTGTAAAGTTCACAAGCAAGTTCGAAGACATGTCTGCCATCACTTCCACTGATGGTTACTTATAGATTTTTCTTCATATAGAATGCTGTCATATCCTATCCATTGATAATGCACCTACCGCGCTAGCCATGTTCTAACACTGGAAATACACATTAGAGAATAGGCAATCTGACCTTTGATTTTCTGTTAAATAGTCATAAAAGTGTTTCTATATAGAGTATTGAAGAAGTCCCAAAACTGGAAAACACAACAGTGAACAAGCAAGGTTCACACTTTGTTCCCCAAAAAGGCTGGTTGGGCACTGTCATGTGTTACTGCACAGATACTTGGGTACCACCCAATTTGTTAAAAAAAATGTTGGATTGAGGGAATGTCATCTAATGTCGTCCAAGGCCACCTGTCGGGAGAGTTGCAGAGGGAAACAAGAGCTTCACAAGCAGCAGAAAAGCAACAATAAAAATAACCACCTAAACAGCTTTAAAAACACCTTCAGATGATGGAAGTCCAAACACCAGTAGATGAAGTCCAAACACAAGAATGCTAACTAAACTTTAAATGTTTCGGTTTTTAGTTTTCGTGAGTGTGTGGAAGGGTTGCAACCCATCAGACTTTTATTGCTCATCAAAAGGTCTGGACATTAAGTGTTACAGTCGAATATCCTCATCTGGTTAGCGGAGCTTAATAACTCTGGTTAGGGAGCTCTCATGTGAGATACTATAATGAGGAATGTAATAATAGCGCCACATCACTTTAGAGTCTAAAATGAAGATCTTTTAATCCATAAACAGAATGACACTTAATAAAACAGCCAATGCATTTTCGGTGGGGAGGGGGGGTTAAGTTTAATAAGCCTTTTCTTTGCTCTAAGTTTCAAGCAAAAGGTATCTGCTGGCAAAGGCTTTTATTGCTGTCTGTGACCATGCTGGGGGGGGAGTCAACCTCTCTTTCACACCAGAACAGAAAAGGAAACTCAAAATGCTACAGGTATTGCTGGAAGAGGTGAAATCTTCCAGTGGAGCACTCATTTTGATACCAACAGTCCAAAAAGGAATTTAACCATACATCAGAGAGGGGCTTTTTTAGAACAGGAAGTAAGGAGAAATCAGCGATGAAGGGAATGTCCACATCATTTGTGTTTATTGTAATGTGTTTGGCCACATGGCAATTTAATTATTCATTTTTCTACTGGTTGAGCTTGATGGACCTGTGTCTTCTCGAACCTCTCAAACTATGTAACTAGGTTATGCTCCCTGTGACTCTAACTGTCATCTTCCTATGGGGGATTGGAATCTTACCTTGTGAGTGGATTGTGAGCATCTGCTCGTCTATGGCCAGCCAATGCTATAACAGAAAAGTCTGCATCAAATCAAATTTCTCCTGCCATGTGTTGTCACTGACTCATCTAAATATCGCTGAGAAACTCCAATAACTGTCCTGTGAGTTGGAAACACCCTCATGCTATCATCAATTCACACATCTACACAGCACTGAAACCGTGAATCAGTATAGATTACACAACCACATTAAACAATGATCATATGTAAAGCATGAGAGAGGGAAAATTCCATTTGAATATTGCAATAGTGACCAACGCTCAGGTTTTGCATACCCTCCTTATATTAGTGGTTGCAGATCATTTTAGGAAATCTTAATAATTAAGACTAAATATAAACCAGACGCCCTGTGCTGAGAGAAAAGGCTCTGTAATGTTGGGTAGCTCACAGAGCACTTGCACAGGGTTCCTTTAACGGAAAGTCTTTATTATTCTTCCGTAACATAAAAGAGTATAATTCAGCATTATACAATTCGCTTATGTCTCAGCAAGTAGAGTCTTTAACACACCTCTGTGTGATACTCACTCCGATCACCCCTCGTGAGCACTCACACTGCTCTCTCAGCAGTGTGTCCACTAGGTCTCTTGGGTCACCAACCTTCCCCAGACTCCCCTGGCTGTTCCACATGCATCCAGCATACACAGCGAGTCTGCTTATGGTCGTGTGCCTCCTGCACACCCACACACCACTGGCTTGGCTCGACCATTGTGTGCCTCCAGCCCACACCACCAACTCCTCCTCTGTGCTCTGGTTTGAGCTCTTAATGAGACCGCTCTCAGCCACCTGATCACCGGCAACACCTGACCTCAGGACTGGAGATTTCATCCCATCCAGAACACTTAAGAAATCTCCAGAGATCCAAATCCCAGCTACATCCCGGAAAAACTGAAAGGCCAGTTTCTTCGCTGCAGAACTATTTGCATTCTGGAACCTCTCAGCCCCTCTGGCTGAGAGTCCTCGGTGACCGTGTTGCCAGCACAGCTGTCATACATGACGTATTCACACAGAACAATCTCCTAAAATTGACACTTCTCTTTTGTTTGAATGATTTCTTAAAATGTTGTAAAAATGTTATTACATTCAGCTAGAGTAAAGAGCCCTTTAACGCATGTGCTACCAACGTATGGTACCACATCAAATACAGTGTGATATGTTGGAGTGCCAATCATATTGAATAGAACCCTAACTTTTCTCCAGCACGCACCTGCACTACAGCATACCACATTGCACCACAATATACGATGTGTGCTTTGATGAAAAAAATAAACCAAGAGTTCAGGCCCATTCAAAATGAATGGGATGTGGTAATACAGCGTGCCGCAATACAAAAAAGGCCTGTTGCCGCTCATGCTAGTGTCAATGAGCCTATTTGTTTGAAATCTGTTTTTAAATGTAGAGGTGTCACAGACAAGCTGAAATTTGAAATGATGTGTCAATGGTTAGATGCATGTCAATGGTTAGAGAGAAGGTTTTGCAGGAGAGATGGAAGAGGGTCACCAATGTGCTTATTTTATTTATTTTTTTCTTAGTAATCCAATGAGCAGGCAGTAGGTGGGACAACCGTATGGAACAGAATTCTAGGTTTTGAAAAGTTTTCACTCTCCTTAACTGTACCAGGTGTCTTTCCTGATGGGGCAGCAATGGAAGCAATGGATGATCTATATATTTATCTTATGAAAGGTTTGCTTCAAAGTAAATGAAATAAAATCTGAAATGTACTGCACATGGAGGAAAAAAAACTACCAACCAGCTGAACATGATATTGTAGTGCTATCTGTCAATATTTGGACAAGTAGTATCGTATATAAAGAAGGAAATCTGAAATGCGGGAATCTTCATGACAGCTCTCAGAAAACAGGAAGAAAAAGCGAAAAGAGAAGAGACTAAATTTACATAATTGCTGCATTTGCCAGAATTTATTCAACCATCTTGAACTTTTGACACTTATGAGCTACGATCTGCCACCTGTGTACAGTAATTCTAACCCGGAAGATCTCATTATGAACTGACGTGATACTTTAAAGAAAGGGATACAGAACTGCCATCTGGAAGCAATTTGCAACCACGATATGGATATGAGCGTCAACTATTTCGACATTAACAGAATTTAAACTAAATGACGTAGGATTTGGGTCTCCACCCGTTCTATAATCCATAAATAATGAGATGTGTGACAAATGCAGACATTTCTTTAGTAACTAGATTGCAGGATGTAAATAGATGTAGCAACTGAACGGTACCTTAGGCTGGTGTAATATCTGACGTGAGTCGCAGGAAGAAAGTCTGTAAAAAGGCTAAATGGATTGCATGTCAAGTAGTATTTCTCAGCTGTGTTACTTGGGATTGTTAAAAAAAACAAGGATATCTTCATTGTGGCCATGTCAGCTGGCATTCTATGTTTCTATGGGATATCGATAATTTGAGGGTATTTCTTTTTATATATTTGTAAAAGAGACCCGTGGGCTAGAAGTATCTTATATAAGTAATTGCAAACCCCAATCCCTCAATTGTATATAGCATTCTATGTTTTTATGACCCAAATAGCCTCAGAAAAGCTTTGACTGTATTCTTGGCCCAGTGATATGAGTTGTTATCGAGGTTTTTTTTATTAAAGATGCTTTTTATTAGTGTTATTAAAATTTTGTTCAAGACAGTCATACAAAAGGTAAGAAACTAGGTCAACATAACCTAGCAACAACAGACAGCAATCATAAGACTAAAAATTCACAACTAAGTTACAGTTTCAGTATACAAAGTGCTAGATTAAGCATCAAGCATCAACTGCTGTCAGTACATAATAGAATCAGCAGGGAACTATGCCAAATTACAAGTTACAGTCATGGGGGATCTACAGTCTTAGTAATAGAGGATACCCATAAGCTCCATATAAGATCAAAGCGCTGCGGGTTGCCTAAGGTAAGCTTATAAAGTGGTAAGGATTGATCAACCAAATGTATTTTTTTAGCAACTCAGGGAGGGAGCCCTAGGGCTACCCCACACTAGGAGAATGGCCTTTTTGGCATAAAACAAGAGCAGCCGGATAAGAGTCTTAGCCCCAGAATTCAACATCAAGAGGTAAAAGACGGGATTACATATGTTGGGAAAGCCAACCCAGTCTCCATAAAAGAAGTAACTTCAGACCAAAAGGTACAGATGCTTGGGCAGGACCAAAAGGAGTGAAAAAAATCTGCTCTCTGACCACAGCGCTTCAAGCACTGTGGAGTGGGCCGGAGACCCGAGGTACATAGAAGGGAAGGGGTATAATAGACTTGGTAAAAACATTTCATCTGCAGTATTCTATCTCTGGAGGCTATCACAGAAGACATATACGTATCTTCAAAATCACACCAATTATACAGGTCTAGATGCGGGAGGAGCGTCTGCCACTTTAGTTTACGTTAATCAAATCTGGAAGATCTAGTGGCCATAAGTTCCGCATAATACAGTAGGTCGATACAAATTTAGAGGAGGCATCTCTTCGTAACAAAAAATTGTCTAGGGTAAAGTGAACTGGTATAAACAAAGCCGACCCAAATTGGACTTGGACTACATGCAGCAATTTAAAATATGCAAGAAAA